ACATTTGCCTTTCACTATAATGTGTTTAAGGAAGAAAATTGCCACTTATACTCTACCTACCAAATTGACTTATTTGCAGTAATAGATTTCTCAGCTGTTTACTTCTGGCTTCTAAAGGTCAGTGCAGAAACTTCAGAGTTCCACAGAAACTTTGGATGAAGTTCCAGCTAGTGGAAAACAAACACAAACAAAATCATGTATACAAATACTGGTGCAAGTTGTAATTTCCTTATTGCACTGGGTCCTCAACCATCTCTGCTTCTGCTTTGCCTTATCCTCTGTCATGGTTACTTGTATACAGGCAATGCTGGATAAATGCTCTGGTGAAAGTTGAGGATTTTAAAAGCATGCTTGCAGATGTGAAAGGCCCACTGGATTCCATCAGTTAGGTATGCTTTTCTTTCTTGTAGCCCAGTTTGCCAAGCCATCTGATCCTGCCCTTTTCTTTTTTTTAAAAAAAAGTTTTTATTGGTTTTTAAAAACAAACATAAACAAACAGAACATAAAAACATCAAGCCATCTTCCATATGTATACATACAGTGTGCTGGTTGGTTTACAAATTGTTTTGTGCTTCCATTTTGTAGTCTTCCATTACAATTACATTGCATATAATCTCGTATTTTCAATCAAAAATTAGATACCTTAGTATCATTATTAATCAATCATTTGACTATACTTTTATTCATTCATGTTTTACAAGATAAACATAATTTTCTACATTTTGGAATCTAAGATAAAATTCTGATCTATCCATCTCCCATCTCAACATACCACTTTTATCTTGTTCAACCACCGTTAATCTATTATCAATATCTCCAATCTTCTTGTCTCTTTGTTTATCTTCTTCTTCAATTTTTTGGAATCTCTCATCATACTTCAACATCATTTGTTGGATGTTCTCCACTTTTTCATCGGTTTTCCCTGTTCTTTGTTCAATGTTCTCTGTTCTTTGTTCAATGTTCTCTGTTCTTTGTTCAGTGTTCTCTGTTCTTTGTTCAATGTTCTCTATTCTCTTTTCAATATTCTCTGATCTTGCTTGAATATTTTGAATTCCTTGCATAATCATCTGCAGTCACTTTTTCTTGTTCTTTTTCTTGCTTTAACATTGTATTGAACGTTGTCCTCCAGATGGTGGTGAGGAAGAAGTAGAAGTTGAAGAACCAGGAGCTGTAAATTTCCTACTCATTTTAAGCAATTCAAAATCTTCAGGTTCTTCTAAACCTTAATCCAATTGTGAAATAACCAATTGTAGTTCGAAATAAAAATAGTAGAAAAAAGAAGCTAAATAGTAATGATAAAAAAAAGGGAGGACAAAATTTCTTCAGGTTCTTGTATACCTTAATCCAATCAGTAGTTAGATGAAGAAAAAGACTTGAAAAAAAAAAAGGAAAAATTCTTCAAGTTCTTCAACACCTTAATCCAATTGAGAGGTCTCAAATAGAAAAGAGTGCATAAAAATAAACCAGAAAGGTAGATGAAAAAACAAAAATACCAGGAAAGGAGAAAAAAAGGCTATTCCCTTAAAAAAGGAAACATTAATACTAAAGCTTTCCCTTTAAAATAAAAAGCAAGCATGGAGATTGAACTTCCAAAGAAAAAAAAAGAAAAACAAAGACAAGCTCCAACAAAGCCAAAGATCCAAATAGCTATTGCAAAAAAAAAAAAAGATAAAATGAAATAAAATAAAGCTGGTAAGGAGGGATAGCACAACTTAGAAAAAGTAAAAAAAGCACAATGCACTTTGTTTAATTATCCAAGGCTCTTATTATAACTCTCTTCTCCAAAAACTTATCACCTTTTTTTCCCCTAAGTTTCAACACCAGACTCCAGCTGTTGATAGAAACCCAGAAGAGCACCTGCAATAATATTCTCCCATGCTCTTCCCTCTATCTTATCAAATAGCAATGTCCTTGAAAAAAAGTCTCAGTTCTTTCTTTCTCAGCTTTGTCTGGTCACAGGAGAAATAGAATATTTCCAAGCCTCTAGTTGGCAGTGTTACCAAGTTTCTTTGCTTTCACTTTCCCCCTCCTTTTCCAAGCAAAATATAATAAGAATTAATAAAAAAGAAAGAAAAAGATATTTTAAAAAAAGAAATAACTAAAAGGGAGTCTCTAGCCTAAAAGGTTACAAAATCAAAAAGGAGAAAAAAAATAGATGGAAAAGAAAAAAACCAGTCCAGTTTCAAAATATAAGATCATGTATAGAAAATCCAGCAATGAGAAAAAAAAAACATTACTTTGACATTCCTGTTTAAAATCGCCGCTTAATCACTTCTGTCAAAACTTTTACAGATTCTTTCTTTTCCTTAGGGTGTCCTTTCAGATCTCAGAATAAAGAAAAAGTTCTCACCAAACTGGCACACTCTCTCTTTCTGTTCTCTTTTGTTTCGGAGCTGTCCCAACTTCAGAAGAGCTTCTCCTGGATCTACCAGGGACCTTGCGGTATCCCTGGGATCGACAGGATGCGCTCTTCACTTTCACTGTCTCTTTGGGACGGTTTAGATCCGATAGGACCATCCAGGAGCAAAGATATCGGCAGCAATCTCAGACCTCCAAAATCACATGCTGCATCGTTGCAACGCCAGCTCCCCCCCCCCCCCGGATCCTGCCCTTTTCTGTTAAGGAAGACTGTTGACATTGCTAACTATTGCCTTGGCAACCAATCTGTCTCTCTGGTGTGTTTATGGAGGTTGTTAAAGCTGGTCCCCAAGGAATCCTTATTCCAGAATATATTCAGCTGGTAGCAAAACCAGAAAGAACACAAAGCTAAGCAGGGTGACAACAACAACAACAACAAAAATGCAAAACTAGTCCTTCAGATTCTAAAAAATCACTGCCATATAAAGATGCGGATATGTCCAAATTATTATCTTAAATGAAAATATATGGATGATACCTTTTGGGAGCTTGATATCCACAAGTCATTTTCTTATTTGATAATAGTTATGCCTATTTTTTTACAAGTTCTAAAATATTTGACTCTTAAACATGATGATCACATTATTTTCTTCCTATCTCATCTTGTGTTTTTATTATTTTTTTTCTACTGATTACAGTGTAATTTTTTTTCCTGTATCTTTATGTGAGGCATACTAGATGGAGATATCTGAGAGACCTTGACTTGCCTAGCAAACTAAAAGGGTTATTCCTGGTTAGCCTTTGGGCAGAGACCACTTGCAAATTCCAGGGCTGCTGGATGCGGTAAAAAAGTTAGTCACTTTCTCATTCTTTCTCTCCTACTACTCATCCTAGAACAGCGTTTCTCAACTGTAGGAACTCTAAGATATGTGGACTTCAATTCCCAGAATACATTTCAGAGTTCCTATGGTTGAGGAACACCAGCCTTTTAGAGGATAACATGTAAAAACATTGATTATGCCAAGAAAATGCAAGGCTGAGTATTTGTGCATCAGTGGCAATCCAAGACTATTTTTATGAAGACAACTTGCTATTGGTGAAGAATATGCTGGATATTCTATAGCATTCTATAAGCCAGTTTAACATTTAGAATAGAATAGAATTTTTTATTAGCCAAGTGTGATTGGACACACAAGGAATTTGTCTTTGGTGCATATGCTGTCAGTGTACATAAAAAGAAAAAGGGAAAAAACCCACATTCAACAAGAATCATAAAATACAACACTTTGTGTTTAACATTGTGGCTTCCAAATTAGGGATTATATGCACACTCATGCAGTAGCAATATCAGGCAGAAGTGCACTAGGTCATTTCTCATAGGTATGGGCTGAAATTCAATTCTTTTATGCTGTATTTATCCCAAAACTTTCCAACTTTGCTTTTTTCCAAAAGTATCTCAGTTTGAAACTATCAGTTTGGATACTGAACATCTTGGGAAAATACAGAATTAAAATCATGCTGAAATGACAATCCTTGAAAAAAAGGATTATCCAACAGAGATTTATGAAATAATGCTATTACCAATTAACATATCAGTGAATGCTAATGTGCACAAAAGGATTGGGTATGTTAGAAAGCTAAGCTCCTATTATTTGTACAGAGGAGAGAGAAAGATTCAAAATCAGAGTTAAATGTTTATCATTCCAGAAATATGCAGGTCAGGATGCCATGAAGTACAGTTTATGAGTAGGAGTTTAAACTATAGAATCAAAAATGTAGATGTATCTGATATTTAAGATTTTTAGCATAACGGATGTGGAAGGCAAACTTTTTAACAGCTACAAAAATAATATAGTTTCCAATGCTCTATGGCAACTGAGTCATAATTAAGTAGACGTACCCTTTGTCCCTTTGGCAGATTGCAGATACCTTTTTACCCATCCTTTCCTGTAGCAACAGTAGACATAGAAGCTGGCCGAGTGAGCAAGATGTTGGTGATGCACTCTGAATTGGAATTATCGCTGAAATTTGCTTGAGCTGTGATATTGGAAGCAGCTTGGGTTGATGAATAAAAGATGACAGCAAAAATGGCTAGCATGCTAGCTGAAAAAATGGCTAGCTGAAATCCAAGAAAGTGAGAAAGAAGTTATTGACTGTAGTGTTAGATGAGTTGTGCTTTTAGGGAATCCTTTCAACTTCCATTTTGGTAGAATTATTGGGAATGCAATTTGATACTTCAAGGACTTACACGCATAGATGCAGCATAACAAAAATTGGAAGATGGGGAGGGGAGAGTCAAAATTAGTCATAGCTGAAGTCAAAGGATCAAGATTTAAGCTTTAGTTCACTAATTATAACTTTAAATCAAGTTAAAAGAGCTAAATTGTTTTATCTGGCCAAAGGCTCTCTTTTCACTCTTTGTACCAATGGCAAATCAATATTGAAGATTTCCCTTATCTAGTAACCACATCTTTTGTTTCTGAAGAAAATGCTCACAAACAGCCTGCCCAGCATTTAAGATATTTAGGAGAGGTAGGTTCTCTGATTTAAGATTATCAGAGGCCAAAGGAACATTTGATGGAGGTATATTTTTAATGACCACTTCCAGTTGCTGGAATTCCCCAAAAGATAATTGAAATTTACTTCCAAATTTGCTACCCTTTTGTTAGAAATTAGTATGCATTTGGCTTTCAATAAAAGGGAATGAATGTCTATCTATCTATCTATCTATCTATCTATCTATCTATCTATCTATCTATCTATCTA